TCACATGATATACTGTAAAGTGGATTAACTATATTTTATGGGTGAACCACTGCAATCAGTTTGTACACAGCAGCATCCCGCAAACAGCCATGGAGTGAGTGACCAATTTTTTTTTGAGGGATTTGTTGGCCAGGACACTGGGAGAAATGCCCTTCTCTTTTTGAATAGTGCTATGGGATCATTAATATCCACTTGAACAGGCAGACGAGATCTTGGTTTAACGTCTCATTCAAAGGACGGCACCTCCAAAAATGCACACACCCCAGCACTGCAATGGAGTGTCAGCTTAGACTATATGATTCCAAGTACAATGTGGGGCATGAACCCACAACCTTCTGACTCACATGCATGTGAGTCAGCTACCACTGACCCAGGCTGACAACACAAATACAGTCACTCCACTTGACAGCAGATCCTGTGAAGCACTTTGAGATGGCCTCTCAATGTAAAAGGTGCTATATCAAATGCAAGGATTATTACCTAGAATTACATGGGACGACATAGAATGTTATAGCTTGGAAACAGGCCATTTGGTTTAATTAGTTCATGATGGTATTTATACTCCACGCAAGTTTCTATCCCTCCTATTCCCTGCTCCTATACCTCTATATTCCCTTTTTCCTTATGTATTAGATAAATAAGTAACCAGATAATAGGGTAAGTATTCTAGAAGGATGAGATCTGATGGACTGAAAGGCTTCCTTCATGCAAAACCAATCTTATGATAATCTTGTGGTCAAAGCATAATTTTATCCAGCGATGGCAAATAAGTAGTGCACATTTCATACCAATGAATGTGAAAGTGATTTTGGATTGGTGTTTTATTGAGTGCTTCAGTGAACTGTAGTAAACAATGAGCTCACCTTCTTATCACTTTCATTTGAAATAAACATTGTGATGTTGCAATGTATGTGTAATATTGGATAAGGCATTTATAATCATTGTTCTATTAGTATAAAGAGGCAAACAGGTTGAACTCTAGCTTTGTATTGTGAACTTGGTTGTTGTAATGTTATTGCAGAGTCCCTGATGTAACCCTCAATGTACAGTACAGAGACTTTACTCCCTGGACCTTTGCTTCACTTGCACTTGTTTTATGCATCTTCAAACCCTGAGGCTAAAAAACAAATTATAAATTGCTTGCCAATAGGGTTAAAGCTGCTTTATCACTCCAAGTGTTCTTCTTCAAACACTAACAGCCATCTACTCCTAAATAAAATAACATTTTCACAATTTACAGAAGGGTTTACTCTTCGTCCAAACAAGCAATACACACAGGAACCTACAAATTCAACAGGGACTGTCTTGAACCCCTGCTTGGCTCAGTAGCTATAATCTTTGGCATATATCAGCCCTTGTCATCTGATACAGCCACTGGGTCAAGCAGCTGTTAGCTGGAGAGTGATTTAGGAGGGTCCTCTGTTCAGTTTTCATGATTACAGCTTTCAAGAAGTCAGCTATCCTCCTTCAATCATTCACAGTGGCAGGACTCCAGACCTCTTTGATAAACACCCCCTGGTGAAAATATGCAGTGGGCAGCAAGTACCACAGTCCCAGACTGACTCAGATTTCAGGATCTGTGTTCTTGTGGAATTACGTGTTAGTTTTCCATGAAAACACCAAGAGACTACCATGAATAGATGGCTTTCATTCAGATTTGAAATGATAGGAAGAGGAGAGGTTTCATGGTGAATTGTGCATTCATGCAATTGTCAAGACAATGCAAGAGCTGTGGAAAACAACTTAAACTTTCATTGAGAGTAAGCAAGGCGGTTTCCTATAATACTACCTAATTGTTCTAAGGGAGCCAAATCTTACATAAATGAGGAAAGTGAGAAGGGTTTTTTTTGTTACAAAAAATGCATCATTTCTTTGTACATTTGGCAAAAGAGAGCTAACGTGCTAAATTCTAATACTTCCTCTCAAAGGACAAAGGTATAATTTTAAACCCTGAAGAATATATGTCAAAGAATGTCGAGTGAGCATCTGGATTTTAGTTATCTCTCATCATTTCCTTCAACAGGTCCAAAACCTTCAGTCATTCCAGCTGAGGTCTGACCCAAGTGACTTTTCTTTTACGTCCCTTAAAAAGAAAACAGGCTCTATCAACTGAGCTTTAACTGCGTGCTGCTGGTTGAGATTTATGACACCATAGATAAGATGAAGGTAAACAGATGTCTTTTACATTTTATAAATTGATTCCAATTTGCTTAACCATGAATCATATCTTTAGGTTCCAGTGTTCTATAAATTGACCAAAGTACTGTTTAAAGAGGGAATTTCAAAAGGCATTTTACGCACTGTCAAAGTCCAGGTCATTCGCTTAATTCCTAGGCAGCAGCTAAAATATAAACGTACACGTAATGTAGCAAAATTGTCTGACTAGAACATCGATCGGGCATGTGGTTTTCACGTTTCACTCCATTTAAACCAATCTCTATTCCCCTGTTTCAAATGGTCTGGTTTCATGTTAAATCTGGAAAATGCCCCCACTGTCAAGTGATTAACAGATCAGATCTGCTCTGTGAATGTTGCATTGTAGGGCTGCATCCTCTCATTTGTGTTTAATACTATCAGTTGCCAATCAGGTGTCTGCTGGGAGCCTGAATCTTGCGCTCACATAATTATTTAAAAAATCCCCAAAATTGCAATACAGAGGGAGGCCTTTAGGTTCATCAAGTCTATTCTGGAGCCATCTCATCCACTGGAACTCGAACTGCAGGATTCCTAATCACATTCTATTTCTTAAATAATGCCGGTGGAAATTCTGCAAATTTTATTGATTTACAGAAATTGTGGTTAAAATGTGTCTTGACACCTGTTCTTAGCAAGTATAGGACTAAAGCCCTCGACTTGTAAAGCATGTTTTTTTTCCACAGGCCTTTCAGCAACAGCCATGTTTTTCTTTGACTTGTGTGTAACTTCAGATAGTTCCAACGCTGCACAACATATGAAATCCTTTTCTTCCTGTCTGCGGCGCATACCATCAACGGAGAACTCAACAGTTTGTACGCCTTCACCCAATGACTTTCCCACAATCACCTTTGCTATCCCTTTCCTTTAACCAACCAAGTCCCATTCCCCGAAGATTTCCCACACGCTCAGGAGTAAGAATTTTAAATCATTTGAAAATATGTCATTCTGTGTATGCACACACCAACTGAGCCTCACACACACAGCCACACACTGAGCCACACACACAGAGCCACATACATCAACTGAGCTTCACACACACACACACTCTCACACACACTGAGCCACACACAACAACTGAGCCACATACACACACAGGTACTCATTGAGACACACACACACACACTGAGCCACACACACACACACACACACATAGAGACACACACACATTGAGCCACACAGACAGACACTGAGCTGCACACACAAATACTGAGCCATACACACTGAGCTACACACTGAGCCAGACACACCAACTGAGCCACACACACACACTGAGACACACACCGAGACACACACAGAGAGACACACACACTGAGCCACACATAGACAAACACACACTGAGCCACATACATACACACACACACACACACACACAGGCACTAATCTGACCCATGATGCAACTGAACATTGAAAGTTTAGTTAAGATGATAATGCGTAAACGAGCGCTGAAAAGCTGTGATCAACAGTACTTATTTTTAATGTATGTTGTGATCTCAACAGTCCTTTCTAATTGTGAAGCCATTTTGCCTTCTCTATTTAATTGAAGAAGGCATCTGTTACAAGACACACTGCTTTTAGCAGTGGTGCTTCTAAAAAAAAGTACAGTATAACTCTTGCTCAGTTGCCTTCTGTTCCTGCGGGAAGCAACAGACATGTTCATTGGTATTCAGCAAGATCAGGAGTTCAGCATGTTGTTGACAGTACACCTCTCCTTCCCACCACGCTGTCTACAGCTCTTAAGCACAGTCAGGAAGACAATTAAAGAATGGATTTTACTCAGAACCTCGGACACAGCGGCCTCTCAAGGTTTTTCTTCAAAGGGTTTTTTCTTTAGAAAAGTTGGCAAATACGGTTTGATTGCATTTTTCAAAATAACCTAAATGTATTTTTTGACACATAATAGCCTCAGATTATGATCAGCTACTGATATCCCATGGAAAGCATCTATAATAAAATAATAATCCTTGCATTTGGTATAGCGCTTTTCATGTCTTCTTGACGTCTCAAAGCGCTTCACAGAAAGCGCTTTACAGACTGTAAAGTGAATTGACTGTATATTTGTGGGCGAAACTCGCAGCCAATTGCGCACAGTAGTGTCCCACAAACAGTCGTGGATTGAAAATGACCAATTTATTATTGTTTTTTGTTTTGGAGGGATTATTATTAGGCGTGTGGAGTAAGGAAACCTGCCCAAGGTTTTGCCCTGCCTGGAATTGAACTCAGGTCTCTCACTTGCAAGGCGAGTGCTCTAACCACTGAGACTACAGGACTCCACATTTCTTTTCTATTCTTTCCTGGGAAAGTATTACATACCTTTCCCTGGGAAGGTATTTTGTTCTACCCCATCTCTAGAACAAAATACCTCAATCCTTCTCGAACCCCAAAGAAGGTTCTTGAATGTATGTTTCGCTTTCAGTCTTCCCCCGGAAGATGCCTTGTCTGTCACTTCTGTTAAGTCTTACAATTGTTTTGTATTACATATAGTTCAGATCATACTTGGCTGCTGATAGAATTATATTTTGCCCACAAAATACACAGTCACTACACTTTACAGTTTAACCTGTGAAACTCTTTGAGACGTCTGGAAAACGTGATAAGGCCTCAAATGCAAGGATAATTATATTAATTCATCAAATACATGGGAACTTGTAAAAGAAAGACACTTGCTGGATCCTTATGAAAATTCTAGCAAATGCCCCGCTGCTTCTGAAAATAACTATGTCAATGAAAGACTTAAAATGAAGCGAAATAATGTGATCATATTATCAGTATAACTGCTGGGTCAATGAAGTTGTTCCCTGTCCTACCGTGTGATAGTCGATGGAGCCAGTAGTAAGCAACGTCCACTCCTAAAAATGCCAAACACCATGTCCAGACCGAATCCCAGGGAAGGAAGAAGAGCCTGCAGTTCTCCCAGATGTAAATGTAGGCTGCCAGCTCAAAACTTTGGCCCAGTAAACTACACAGGAAAGAATAGAAAAGATAAGTTCAATGCACTCGAAAGCTATTTGTTCCTGTGATAGATCTGCAGGCAACATGGTCTAATCCAGACATAATCACAAATTCAATTTTATTGTTTAAAATTGATAGATTGCATGTGAATACTTACACTATAATCCCCTTGACTACAGTAAAGAAACACATAAGTTCCTAAGTGATTACTTAATGTTGTGTGTGTGTGCATGCGTTAAAACCCCCCACCCCAATGTAAATTGTTCTTGTTGATTGCGATTGAACTTTTATTCATCTCCAAGAATTAGAACTTAGTATTGTCTAATGGTCAGTAATTGTGAACCTTGGCGGGTGAGTACAGATGAGTCAAAATGCTGCGCTCTACATAGGAATCTTGAGTTTCGATTGCTCACATCATTTGGGATGTGCATTACAATGAGGGATAAAATTCCACTTGGATCTACATTTACTCAATGAACATAATATTTGTTAAATACAGCTTAATTTTTGAAGCTTTTTTGTATTTTTTTAACAACTACAGAAAGTCAGCTTCACAACTAAGACTGAATTCAACAACTTGCCAAATTCTGGATGCCCTGAAATACTATATTATTTAAATAAATCTAGACTCAGAAAAAACTTTATTCCAGGGGTGTGTAAATTTATGTATAAAATTCATCACACTAGTTCTAGTCAAGCTCCACTGGCTCCCTATTGCTAAATTAATTGATTTCAAGATCCTATTACTTGTTTTCAAATCTCTTCATGCCCTGGTACCTCCCTAACTCTCTGACCTACTTACTCCCCAACCCACTGCCTTTGCTCGGTTGGCTGTGGCCTCCTGCTTGTTCCTTGTCCCCTCCACTCTATCATTGGTGGTCTTGGTTTCAGCCGCTACGCTTTGGAACTCTCGCCCTCAATCCCACCATCTTGCCCCCTCCTTCCCCTCTTTTAGATCTTGACTGAAGACCTTCCTCTTCATGTGTGCATCAGGCTCCACCCTGTTAAGTGCTCCAAGAGCCTGCCCCGCATGAGGGCCGCTATATAAATGCAAGTTGTAGTTGTTGTTGTGGAAATCCATTTCTTTGCAATAGAGTGAACCATTGATTCTGTAGGCAGTGGAGGCTACATATATGGATAATATATATACAGATATTTGTTGAAAAATTACAAAGTCAAAATAGAGAAAATATGTTTAAGGATGAGAGTTTGGTGGTCAAAGTATTTATTTGCAATTGTTTACATTTAATATATGTATATATATAAATTTGGAACTCTATCAATGTGAGTAGCAATAGTGCTATGCTGAGTGCTTCCTCTTCCTAGCTCCCAACCACTGACTATTAAGTTCGCCTATAAATACTTTACAATAAATCTTGTGAACCACTTTGAGATGTCCTCCCGTTATGAAAGGATTATTATAATCCATGTGCGCTCAATATTGACTCTGCACTCAATAACTGTGTGAGAGTTGAAAGGCAGTGGGGACTCTGAAGGTGTTTGATCCCAGGTTTGAGGATTGTCAGCACCTTCACCCCTATCCTCCTCCACTCAGCCAAGGAACACGTTGTCTCTACACTTCGAAACATCCCGTTTGATGTTATTTCACACCCTCTTTCCTCTTCAACATTGCGGTGCTAAGTTTTCCAATATGTGGTGTCTTATCACAAATTTGACAGTCCTGTAGCTCAGTGGTTAGAGAACTCACCTCGCAAGTGAGCGACCTCGGTAATAATTTCTTAAAACAAATAATAAATTGACCGCTCAATCCATGAGTGTTTGTGGGACACTGATGTGCACAATTGGCTGCTGCTTTTCGCCCACAAAATATGCCGTCAATTCACTTTACAGTATATTCTGTGAAGTGCTATGAGACGTCTCGAAGGCTTGATAAGGTGCTATATCAAATGCAAGGATTATTATTATCCAAAGGTGCCTTATCTACATGGGACTGTGCAGTTGTGATGCTTGATGCAGTGCTGGACAGTTATGCAGGACCAGGGCCTGGGACATGAAGTACCTGACGTTCCATCCCAGGTCTCCATCTCCACCTCTTCCTCTCCTGTGGGATGCATGTAAATCTCAGCTTGGTTTGGATACTCTTAACAACAACAACAACAAGATTCCATTTATAAAGCACCTTTCACGTCAGGAGGACGTCCCAAGGTGCTGCACAGTTGGGTCAGGACCCGAGCAGGGGGAAATGGTCAGGGTGAGGGGAGGGAAGGGAGGGAGCGAGGAGGGGGGAAATGGTCAGGGTGAGGGGAGGGAGGGAGCGAGGAGGGGGAAGAGAGTCGAGAGGGGAGCTGAAGGCTCGGTCAAAGAGAAAGGTTTTGAGACCGGCCTTGAAGGAGGAGAGGGAGGAAGCAAAGCGAAGGCACTGGGGGATGGAGTTCCAGAGCCTGGGGGCTGAGAGACTGAAGGCCCGACCACCGAGGGTAGGGCGATTGGGGCAGGGGACGTGGAGCAGACCGGAGCCGGAGGAACGGAGGGTACGGGCAGGTAGGTAGGGGGATAGTAGGTCAGAGAGGTAGGTGGGAGCAAGGCCGTGGATGGCCTTATAGGTGAGGATGAGGATCTTGAAATCAATCCTCTGGGGGATGGGGAGCCAGTGGAGGCGAGCGAGGGTGGGAGTGATGTGGTCCCGAAGCCTGGTGCGGGACAGTACACGAGCTGCAGAGTTCTGAATGACCTGCAGCTTGTGGAGGGAGGTGGCGGGAAGGCCGGCGAGGAGAGAGTTCCCATAGTCCAGCCTTGAGGTGACGAAGGCGTGGACCAGGGTTTCAGCAGCGTGAGGGGTGAGGTAGTGCCGTAGTCTGGCGATGTTCCGGAGGTGATGGAAGGCGGTGCCAGTTGTGGTGCGGATGTGAGGGAGAAAGGACAGCTCAGGGTCGAACAGAACCCCGAGGTGACTGACTGGCTTTGAGAGGTGGAGAGTGCAGCCTTGGATGCTGATGGTGTCAGCGCCTGAGGTGCGGAGGCGCTGACGTGAGCCAATCAGGAGGGCCTCGGTTTTTCGCACGTTGAGCTGAAGAAAGTTGTCTCTCGTCCAGGACTCGATGTCGGACAGGCAGCTGTCAGGACATCGGTGGTCGTGGAGTTGAGAGTAGAGGAGGAAAGGTAGAGTTGGGGGTCATCCGCGTACATGTGGAAGTTAACTCCATGTCTGCGGATGATGTCACCAAGGGGGAGCATGTAGAGGGTGAAGAGGAGGGGACCGAGGACAGAGCCCTGAGGGACACCACATGAGACAGTGCGGGGGGTGGAGGAGAAGCCATTTGTTGAGACAAAGTGAAGACGGTGAGAAAGGTACGAACTGAACCACTCAAGGACAGTGCCTTGACGGTTGAGGTGGGAGGACAAGCGGTGGAGTAGGATAGCGTGGTCGACCGTATCGAATGCTGCCGATAGGTCGAGGAGGACGAGGAGGCAGAGGGAGCCCTGGTCACAGATGGTCAGGATATCGTTGGTGACCTTGACCAGGGCAGTTTCTGTGCTGTGGGCAGCACAGAAACCTGACTGAAGGGGTTCGAAAAGTGAATGGGTAGAAAGGAAAGAGCGCAGTTGGGAGGCGACAACTCTTTCCAGGACCTTGGAGAGAAAGGGGAGGTTGGAGATGGGCCGGTAGCTTGATAGCTGCGACGCATTAAGCACGGTGATGGGTTTCCACATGTATCAGACACCCGGCTGACCAAAAAGGAAAAGAGAGGGCTGGCAATGACCTTCAGCTCTGAAATTTCTCATAAGCCTTCTGCAGTGGCTTGGCTGCTTGTTGAGCTGGTGCAAAGATTCTTGGAGGGATTTGGAAGTAATTACAGGGAGAGGGGATCGTCAGATAGGGGGTGTGGGGTAAGTCAGGGAGAGGGGATGGTGAAGTAGGCAGACAGAGAGGAGTTTATGGGGTAGGTAGAGGAAAGAAAGATGGGGGCAGAAGCTGGAAACCATAAGGACAGGCCATGGGTAAGTAAGGTTTGTTACAAAAAACACACATTTCCTATTGTATGTCATAATGAAGACCAGGAAAAAAACCTCTGCTTTCATTAAGCTACAAATACATGCATGTCATTTAAGGGAGTACCTGTTGGTGACAGGATCCTTCCAACAGCCACTGGTCACTGACTGAATGATGGGATTTGTGTCGCAGTAGTTTCAAAGGCACCTTTGCCTAGGTCAGTACTTGTAGCCTAAAGTAAGTGAACCACTTGATCCCAATCAGGGCCATTGCCGCTGCTGCAGTTATGAGCTGGGACATCTCCAGTATCTCGCAATGTGATATCACATCACATACACAATTTTTCACTTCAAAATAGCTGAAGGAATAAGAGCTCCAAAGTCCTGTCCTCCTTTGAGGGGGAAAGATAAACGGGTCTCATTGGATCTGAAATGTCACCAAGGTGATGTACTTGCCAATGGAATTGTGTCTTTATGGTAGTCTAAGTCATGCAGATCCTGAGCAGGAAGGTCTGCAGTATTCCAAGCTACTGCTGATGACAGCCCAGCCAGCCTGGCTTATTGGCAGGACCTGGAGGGGTAGATCTTTCACTGAGGCAAGGACTCTTTCCACTTAGCTCCTGTTAGCTTGCAAGCCAAAGCATTAATGGAACAGGGTAATCCTGGCAAGGCAAGCAGCAGCAAGCTTGCTTGACACACAGTGCTTTCAATGGCAAACTACATGGTTTTAGGCAGTTGAACTCCAGCAGTACCCCAACGCACTCTTGAGTTCCCAATCATGGGCTCTTGCCAATCTGCGGCTAATACTCTCAGGAATTAGGTAAGTAGGATGCATTCCATTTCAGACCCCCAAAAATTCCACGTGCAGCTGACATACACAAGTGGAACTCTCTATCTGGTTTTGATACTCTTAAGCATGGTGATGGGTTTCTACATGTGTCAGACATAAAAAAAAATCTGAAAACTTGTTACACTCGATCAGTGGGTTAGAATCCTACCTGATTCCTACAAGTGAGGGAGACCCTATATTTCATGCATGTCAAAGTGATGAGTGAG